CATGAGAACAAGCTCAGGCTCCAACACATACAGGCTGTTTCATAGCCATTTTTCTGCTCCACTTGAACACCTACCCTTGTGAGGTGCCACAAGATGATTTTAAGTTATGCATATATCGCTCACTATCAGCATTTACACATTCAGCAGAAAATTGCCTAGATCCTGACCAACGGAACGCAGCTTGAGGCGTGACAGATGGAGATTGGCAGTGATGTTTCTCTAAAAAGATACGTATATTTGAAAGGAATAAATTTATACAGTGTTCCCTACACTGTAGGTAATGAGAAAAGACACAGGAAGTATGTTCCTGCCTTTCTTTTCTCCAAAAATCTGAAGTATGTAAAACACATTTTTATTTCCTTGTCTATATTCTAGTCAGTGATGCTAGCCCAGCTTGGAAGAGAATGTTTGGTAATTGCCACTGCAGAGCCAGGAAAGGAAATGAAACAATGAAAACTGCTGCAGGACAAAGCTGCAGATAAGATCCTGTGCATCAAAGTGCAGCAGTATCAGTTTGCTGCTCTGTGTAGAAATGCAGAACGCATACAATTCACTACTCATCTGCATTTTGAACTTTTAAGAGAAAACTGGAAACGGCATAGACTGAAGGCAGCTTTCCTAACAGATGAAGGCAGGAAGAAAAAAAGCACTAAAACCTAGTGCCACTCTTCACCAGTGCTCTGGTAAAATGGATTATTACACACAAGTTCAATTTCTAGTTCATAAATGTTAGTGTTCAGAAGAACAGTACTCTTTACTCTCCTCTGTACCTAAACATCAAATTCAGAAGTCTCACCTTCACCTTTAGTTAGCGCCTTTCCCAACACTACTGAATGAAGGGAGCATGGACAGGTGGGGAGAAGGGGAATATCCTTTACCACGCATCTTGTTAATCATCACCTTCATAGGAGCTAGCTTGAACACCAAGGCATCGTACCCTTGACAGACAGAAATAAGCACAGGCTAAGAATTCATCCAAAGTCCACAATCCTTTGTGCAGATGGCTACAACACCTGCCCTCAGTTCTGCTAATGCTTTATCTCTGTTCTGCTGTCAAACCTGCAATTCAGCACCACAGACCAGAAGAAACACGAAGCAATGTACACACAGGAAAAACTCAAGCAAAATTAATTTTCATGATCAGTCCACATAAGATGACAAATACTCTGCTGATACCCTTTATGTACAGGGCCTTAAGTATATTGCTTTTTTTTTTTTTTCCCTCCCCTACCAAAGGAGTTTATCGTTATGATCCCGTAACTATTTCTGATTTTTCAAAGCTTCCAGCATATATAAATAAAATCATTAACAAAAGCAAAGATTTTCATTCAGAGGCAGTCAGCAAATATGGAAAACTGACAGCATCAGTATAATAACCTTAAAATAATATAACAGTTCAGTATCACAGTGATTGTGAAAACATACTAATGTTGCCTTTAGTAGTTTGGTGAATTAATCTAAACTGGAAGAACAAGATGAATTTTTACAATGCACCGCTTCCTTTTTGCTCAGCATGAGATTTTAAGTGTCGCTAGGGAACTAACACTTAACTATTTCATATACAAACTGAAACACTTATAGGCCAAAAGGCTTCAGGTAGCACACAGCATACAAGAGTTAAAAATAAGTCAATTGTTAAACAGTCACATGAACAGAACCTTGAGGTAACTGTCAAGTATAATTTAGAGTAGAAAAAGAAACCCTGGTTTTGCTGAACGGTGCTGTCAGTGATCAAAATTAGAATTCCAGGGATCCAGGAAAGCTGGTTTGTGTGTCATACAAAAGTAAAAACCTCAAAATTAAAGACAAAAGGCTGCCATCCAAATAATTTTATTCAAAAATAATCAGTAAGTACTCTTCAATTTTGCTGACAACCACTGAAAACAGGAACTAATTTGCTTCTTCAGAAGATCACTTTCCAGCTATGCCCCCAGCTCTGGGAAAGAAGAAGGAAAAAGAGGAAACAGCAGTAGCCTATTTTATTTTGTTTTAAACAACTCTAACATTCAAGATATTCATTAGTACAGTTAGTTATTTCATACTACTATTTCAGAAATAGTTAGCAGGATAGCTTCATATTAAACTGTATACTTCAGATTGGATATAGGAAGAACAGAGAAAGAGAGGCCTTGGCTGGTTGTATTTGAGTTTTTCTATTCTTCCCACTTTACTCCTGCCAAACCACCAGCAAACATCAGCAGACTTCAGGTCTGGATACTTTCCAGTTAACACAAAGGCCAACAAAACCAGAAGTTGCTAGAAATACATAAGGTTTTGGGTACTCAGAGCTTGAATAACAAATATAGATAGAAACTGAAGTTACCAAGTCTCAATAAATACAGCAAGTGAACTGAGAAAAGACTGAAAAAGCACCATGAACACTGTTAACTACTCATAGTGAAAAACAGTAATCAAAACTTCCAAGTAGGAATTCTTCAAACTTCTGTTGCTGTTTATAATGACACAAGCCATCCTCACACACTTGACAGGATGCCAGACACCAAGTTTTATGAAGCAGCCACTAGTTCATGAAAAGAATGGTGAACTTGAGAACTGCAGCTCTGTACTGTAACCAGAGGACACAGAAGGAAACAGCAACCTTTCTTTCCTCTGGGAAAGGCAAGGCAAGTAGCATTTCAAACATTAAAGCAGCTTGAAGAAAGCTGTCAGTTTTTACCTCCTGAATGGCAACACCATGCTCTGCTATAGAATCATTAGAATAAACCAGCATAAGGATCCAGCATACTGCCAGAGATGTAAAAACCATAGAAGCAGCTTTTATGACATACTGCCCACAAAAGAAAAGGCCAATCACTTTTCCTCTTCACTCAGCTGTTTTACAATTGCAAGTCAAAGGTCAACCATCTTCACTCGCTTTTGGAATTCTGCCACAAGACTACTAATAACCACAGTTCAAATGCTATTCAATCAGGCTCGGAATACATTGGTGTTCAGCAATAGTGGCACCATGACATCACAGCCAAGTTACCTGCTAAAAAAAAAAAATCAGATGAAGTCAGACTGGGTGCACCTTTGCCTTCCCTATGCAAACAGAAAAACACAAACTTTTAAGGAGTGGGAAATAAAGGGTTACAGATCGTGTTCTTTCCTTAGTGTGGTTAAGGCATAACATTTCTCTACAAAACAATTTCCAGCCATCAATTATACATGCCATCAAATTTACTTTGCCTTCCAAAGCTGCATCAAGATCACTAAAGCTAGGTAATAGCTAGATTTGGAGAAGCCTAGACATTTGAAGCTACACACGTGCCTCAGCAAAAGCTATCTTACGACAGAAGTGTATAGCAGCATTCAATGCGCTACAAGTTTATTTCTCTTTCCAATTCACTCATTCAAGGGCAGCAGATCTGACTTGATAAATAAAACGAATTACATGAGGCACATGAATGGGATACTCTGAGGCTTTTCAGTTACAGGTATAATACTAAAGAAACAGAACTGGTACGCCTGATGAAAATTCCTACAAATTGAAAGGCATTTGAAGTGACAAACTGTGTTTCATTATATTTGTTTTCCTTTCCATTTAGCATTTTCTGCAAGTTAACTTCAACTATTCTCTTCTTCAAATACACACTTCAAATACAAAAGCTGAGGGCAGTCAGCAGTGACTGAAAACAGAAAATAAACAAAGTTATCGCAGAAGAAATCTAGTGTTATGACAGTTCTGAACATTTCAAAACATCAAAAGGAAATATTATGGTAATTACGTAAATATGAGAATTGAGGCACACAGGTCTAACAGGTGATGTTAGGCCCATCATGGGCCAGGGATGTGAAAGACATAGCAGGTACAATTATTTTAAAAGTACAGTTTCAAGGCAGGATGCATTTTTGCAGCCATGCAGTAGTACCGCATTTCTAACAAAGCCATAATTTATTCCATAATTTATTACTGAAATGCCAACTCTAAAAGAACTGTGTAAGTTTACATGTAGAGGACCTTTTTCCTACTTATCTTAAAATACTGCTAAATCAAGCCCTTTCCTGGTAAAAATTTTAAGCAGCTAAATAATCCCATTGAGGTCTGCAGGAGTTATTTGTCAGCATGCACAACGTCAGCCCAACATCTGCAAAATTGGCACTACTCAAGGCAGTCTCTACTCAAAGCAATTTAGAAATCAGCACCTTAAAATATTTCTATAGTAAATGTATCACACTTGGAAAGAAATGCCCATCTTATACTATCATGGTGTAACACTGACTGAATTAAACTCAATTACATGATGAAAAAAAAGCTCTTACTAGTCAGAAATAAGCTTAAAACTATGCTTCACTGAAGCCAAATCACTACAGATTTACATTTTACTCTCCCCACAACCGAATTTTTGGGCTTGTTCTATGTGTTATTTCAAATAAAGTTTTAGAAATTCTTTTATTTCTCAAAGTCCTTTAAAGAGGGGTTTTCAAAAGCTTTTGATGTATTGAAAGAACTGTAGATCAAAATTCCTCTAATGCACTCAAACATCCACTTACATATGCACAGATTCATTAAACATAAAGCCACTCACATTCATCAGGCCAGAAGATAAAATTCAGCACCAACATTTGACAGCCTGATGCTAAAATATTATCTACTAAGAAAGAAACCTAATCACTGTTCTTGACACCAGAATCTTTGGCAGGAGGCAAAGGAAAGGATCACCACACTGATCTTGATTACTTTAAAGGGCAATCTATTGTGGAACGAAATTCAGCACAGAGTGCACTGTATTGTACTTCTGCTTATTTGCAGACTAAGTTTTCAAATACTCCACAGTCTGAGAAGAGAGGAGGAAAAACTCTGGGACGTGGTTAACACAGAAAGGAAACAGCATCTGCTCTGGCCAGCCTGGGCTTGAGGAAACCCTAGGGCACCCTATTAATCCTCCACTGAGTCCCCAGCAAAAGCCAGGTCCAATGGACCGGAAGTGACTGACCAGACAGAAGTCAAAGAGGGGAAGGCAAAAACGGGAATCCCTAATCCCTTACCCTCCACTTACCTTAAGTATATCCCCCCGTTTGAAGCTTAGCTCGTCATCTGCCGTAGCTTTGAAGTCGTATTTGGCGATGGCTTCCATGCTGGGGCTGCCGCACCAGGCAGTGCGGGCAGTAGGAAGGAAGCACTCCCCGCAGCCTCCTTTCCTCCCGCGGCGGCTCCCGGCTCAACCCTCCCACGGTCCGGCTCCGCTCGAGGCGCCGGCCCCGTCTCTCACATACAGGGGAGGCCAGGGGACGATCCGCCCTAGAGGAGAAAGAGGAGGAGGAAGAGCCGCGCCATTAGGGGAAGTGGCCCGGATCGATGGCCGGGGCCGCGCCCAGAGCCGCTCCCTCCACCCGGCGCGGCGCGGCAGCCGCTTCCTCCCGCCCGTGCTCGCCCAGGCCCGGCTCCCCCGAGTGACACGGCCGTCGGCCAATGGGGCCCCGCAGCCGGCGGCCGGGGGTGGCACCAAGAGGAGCCGGCGGCCCGAGGTGCGGCACAGTCCGGTCCCGTGCAGCGAGGCACGGCTGCCGGCACGGCTGCGAGGACGGCTCCGCCCGCGGGGGCAGCGCGAGAGCGGGGCGCGCCGGGGCGGGCGGGCAGGAACCGCTGAGGGCAGCGCGCTCCGATCCCCGAATGGAAAACTCGTGCTCGAGACGCAGCTTACACAGTGCTACCGTTGCGTTTTCTTCCATTCACACAGTTTACGCCGATTTAAATAGATTTTAATAGACAAGCCAACGAATAATTCTGTACATCTTAGAAGTCCTATATTCTTACATAATACTCTGTAAGAGCACTTAACAGAAGTGTCTATCAAAGTGACATAAATTATATATAAACAGTTTGGGCCCAGTCTAACATGAAAGCAACCTTTCTGAAGCTCTACTGTCTTGAGCAGCCAAGTATGTCAAACAATAACAAACATCTCCAGAAGGAGCATGTGAAAGCAGCGCTGAGTCCAGCATCTCTTATGGCACCAAAGAAGAGATGACACCAAATTTGGCATTACATACACAGACACCCTGGAACTCCTTAACCTCCATATAAACCTCAATCTAGGTTAGAATTGGATTTAATGTAAGCCTAGATTCATTTGATAGCAGAGAAGGTAACAGAACTGAAAGAAGGAAAATGGTGAATTAACAGCCATCACAAATAATCCCATGCAGAGTGAGCAGAGAGCTGATGCTTGTCAACAACTCTCCAAAACAGAAGAGATCTTACAAACATCAGTTCACCCACACACCTGCTAATTCAGTCTTTTGTTGTCACAGTCCAGAAAGAGCAGTGTTACTCAGAAAGGCACCATTATAACTCCTCTGTGGAAAAAAGAAATCTGCCTTACATGAATGCAGCGAAGCAGAGAACGTGCTTGTCCAATCTTCAGCTCCATAAGTAGTGATGAAGCTTGAGACAAAAAAAATAGAACAAAGATCTCTACTGCAGTAAACTGGCAGAATGAAAAGGAACACTTAAAAAACCAAAGAACATCTCATTAAAGTCTCCACATTCACAGAGTTCGGGGCTTTCTTTCGTACTCCTACACACTGCTAGCAAAACACCAATAAAACTAACAAAGCTGTCAACAGCCACGAATACCGCAACTGAACAGTTTGTGTGTGCTATTGGAACTACCAGAAATAAATGTACAGTATCCAAGCTTAGGATCTTTTAACTGTTATTAACTGTTAGAAGAAATCCACTGCACAAGAGGAAAAAAGCAAGCTTACTGTGGAAGTGTCTTGTGCTATGTCACTGCCCACTGGAAGTACAGCTGTAGGCATTCACTCTTGGCAGACTGCTGTGAAACAGGACACACCGCACACTACTGAACCTTAGCTCCATAAGCTTAACTAGGGTAAGACGGGTAGGAACATAAGCACAGTCAAAACATGAACACAGTGAGTACACATTACAAGAGTTAACAGCTGCTGCTCGAATAAGATCATCTAAGATTTCTCAGAATATCACTGTTTTCCACCTCTTGCCTTACTAAGTTTTGCTCTTAAAAAAAAAAAAAAAAAATAAAAAAAAAAAAAGGAAGAGGAAGAAAAGGCTGCAGATGCAGCTAACAGCAAACTTTTATTTGCAATACAGTGCTGCAGATCAGGAAGGAATACAAGTAATTATAAATAGAAACCTCATCACTGCAGCCAACAGGAAACAATTCTCATGATCTTTTTAAGTGATATTTCAAAAAACATGTAGGTAACGTAGGCCTCTTACACTGCTCCTACAAATAGCTTTTTTTTTTTTAATAGCAGGTAAGAGCTTTTAATTTTTCTCATTTTACTATTCCTCTGGAGTCTGATATGGAGAGGAGTAGAACAGTATAAAACAGATAAAGTGAGGAAGGAAGAAAACGGATTCAGCAGAAGATTTTGCAAAGAATCAGAGTCTAAGCCTCATCAGCTGTTAGAGGACAAAACATTACTAAGGGTATTGGAAAGAAAAACATGTGGATACATCATCAGGAAGACATGCAGAGATGTTAAGCGTCAGCTCTAAACAAAAGAATAGAAAGAAGAATCAGTGCTCTGCACTTAAGATTTCAAATTAACACAACATAACAAAACAAACTAACCATGTAAAACAGAAGTTATCAACATACACAAGCCAGAACACAAAGGATAATAAATGATATTCACTCGGCACTCAATACCTCATAGCTTAATACATTTCACCTTCCTTAAGTACATATTGTCAGAGGACAAGTCCTGATATCAGTACAAAACTATGCTACAGTAAAAAGCACAGATATTTATCAGATCAAATCATTTCATTGAGTAAAAAAAATTAGCTTAGCAGAAATTTATTCTCACTTTCTTATTTTAGGTTGTATAAAGAAAGTTCAAATACTGTAAGCTTCTCTGGTATTATGAAATACTTCAAACACTACATGACTCAATCATGAGAGATTACAACTCAATGACCATTTTGGGCATAAATTCTCGATGTACAACACTTGTGCAGAACCGGATTACAAACGACATTGCATTTGAAGATTAACAATCCTTCAATCCTTCAAATTTCAGCTCTTGACAGAAAACATTTAATAACTTTTAGAACAAGAAACAAACTTCCCTAAACGCTGTATTTGATCTACAAATTATTCTCCCAGTTATTAAGTATATTTCATAAAACTTTCTCTTATGTCATAAAAGAGAACACTATTTGAGGACAGAAGTTGTGAGTTAGTAAGGCTGTATCCATGTACTCCATAGGTTACTTGAAACTGTATTGCCAAGTTAGGGCCAACTGCACAAAACCAACCCTGAATCTCAAAGCAGGAAGTTCAGAAGAGAAAGAAAAAGCTAAGGAAAAAAACGCTATCTTAGAACCTCACATTTAAAGCTCGACCCAAAAGGTTTAGAAGAAAGAAAAGTATTGATGCTAACCTGCCTACAGGCTAGTCACAACCTCACAACCTTTCAACCTTTGGAAAAGACCTAAAGCTACAGAACCCCTTTGTGGAAGGTTTAAAACATATCCCAAGAGCCTTCCCCTCGTGCACACACCCCCACAGACACACCCCCAGACCCCCAGCTCTCAGGCCAGCTGGGGACCCAAGCAGAATCGCAGAATAGCCAGGGTTGGAAGGGACCTCAAGGATCATGAATATCCAACCCCCCTGCCACATGCAGGGCAACCAATCTCCACATTTAAAACTAAACCAGGAGGCTGCTCAGGGCCCCATCCAACTTGCCCTTGAAGACCTCTAGGGACAGCAGCACCTGACCAAACTCCTTCCAGCAGACAACACAGGATATGGTTCCACCTCTCCCGGCCCAGGCCGCCCAGCCAGCCAGAGCCTCACCTAGAAGCACGCACCGCCTCTCAGACTCGGGCCCGCAGCCTCGGCACTGCGGAGCGCACCGTGGAGCACGGAGAGAAGCGGAGCCCCCAGGGAGCGCAAGCCACGATAGAGAGGGCCGCCCTCCGCCAGCGCTCAGCGTCCTCTCAGCAAGCCGGGAAGCCAGGCCTGGAAAAGCCTTCCCATCACCGGAGGGGGTTGAGGACGGGGGGGGGAAAATGGGCGGCGCGGCGCCGATCCGCCCCGCCCCCCCCGCACTCACCACGCAGCGCTGGGGGCCGCCGCCCCGCCCGAGGTTTCTCGCCGCCTGCTCGCCCCTCCAGCGCCTCCTCGGTTGCCGCCCAAGCTCCAACTCCGTCCCGCGGTTCCCCCTCCGCCTGCTCCGCCGCGGCCGCCGCCGTCCCCTCAGCAACTCTCGCGAGAGCGGCCCTGTCAGCCACTCGGTGCTCCGCCCGCTGCGGATGCGGCGCCTGCGCACCCACGTCCCTCGTGGAAGACAGGCAGCGGCCTTCGCGCTTGCGCAGCTCACACGGACGGGTGCCGGGAGCGGGCTCCGTGAGGAGAGCCACGTGGGTGTAGCCTCGTGGGCCGAGGCATCGAGCCGTCCTTAGGGAAACGAGCGGCATTCGTAATACATTCGTTATCCCCATGAAAAGGAGGAAACCGTGGCTGCTGGAATTCCGACGTAAAACCACTCGGTGTTTTTTTTTTTTTTT